TTTTAAATTTCGAAACAATTTTTTTTTAGAATACTGAAAATAATTCGGATTTTAATTTTAATTCTGGATAAAGTTCTAAAAAAGCTCACTTACATACTTCAAGATAATAATTTTTTCAACTTTGCAATTCAGTTTATATAATTTTTATAAAAATTAGTGTCCTGCATTTTGAATTCGATTGATTAAGTTTTTTTTTTTTACTTTCTATGTAAGCATATATAAACGTCGTCGTACAATTTATATTATGTATTTGTATATTTATATTTTGTCTATAACAAACGAATAGTGAAAGCTACAGTATTTATAATAACTTACAATTTTTTTTTCATGACCAAATCCTTATCATATTGAGCTATTTTTTTAAACTTTTTAAAATTTAAAGAATCCATTCCCTTATGTCGCCTAATAGTTTTCTCTGCAACATCAATATCGCTGCTGTTTGATGTAACTACGTGATTTTTATGTTCTTGACAAGGTATTTGTATAAACTCTGTGGAGTAAAACGAGGATTCCAAGGTCTGCGGGTAAAAAAGTCCATCACCATTTGTATTTATGTACGTAGTTATAGAATTTATTGATACTCTCCTTCGATAACTCAGGGTTATAATTAAACCCTTGTAACTGTGGACTGTATTAAACAGTGATTTGTTTGTATATTATGTATTTGTTGCAGTTCTAATTACAATCACTGGTTTGTAACTAAGTTATAATGAAAGAAGATATATTTATTTATTATTTATTAAACATGTTGTGTTGCGGACTTTACTTTTAAAAGCGTACAATTAGTCCCATTAAACTATCCACTACCCCCTCTAGCAACCATCCCGTGCGAAAGCTCAATGTCATAAAGATTGTCACCTTCATGGCCAATAAAATAGAACGAAAATACGTTCGAACACCATTTTTTCTGAAACAAGTATTTTCTATAAACATTATTTTAAAGCAGAGGACAAATTATGTGTAACCAGTTATCGCTTTAAATCAGGCGAAATCGCTATCATGAGATACACGGCTACAATTACAAATTTTTGTTGAAATGTTATTTAGTTTACGATACCTGAATATAAATTTTAAGTATACGCTATTTAATTATTTTTAGGTTTTAAGTTCACAATAGATAAATTGAATTAATATTTATTCCAACTCTAGCGATGAATTCTTCTGACAAAGAATTATAGAAAATCTGCAAATGAAATATGTATTTAAAACTGAAGTTGTACTTACCTTATTTGTAATAATTGTATTTAAACAAACAATGAGTCTGATTATGATATAAATAGGAATGCTTACAAAAGCAATATTTATGATAGTAGTAAGAGTTGAATTTTTTTATTATGTCTCAAAATACATATTTAGATTATAAATTCTAATTTTATTGTCCAGCGAAATAATTAAGCTTCATCGTATTGATTGAAAAGTGTGATTATTATTCCATAAAATCTCTTAAAAACTGAAAATGAATCAGTGGATTTTGTTATTATCTGGCTGTTGAATATTAACCAGTCTATTCGGTAAAATAAAAAGGACCAGCTGAGATTTTTTAGCAAAATAGTAAAAAAAACATATTACTACCATGATGAAATAGCTTAGAATTTTTTTTATGTATTATTTGTTGTGATATAATTGGTTTTGTTTTCACAGAATACTAAATTGACTGGTAATTATTAAAAAGAACCTTTTTGTCTCGCCCTACACCCTGTTTTAAAATAAATTGAACGAATCGAAGATACAAAATTAACAATAAAATAATTTAGATTAATATGTTTTTTGGATTACAATTTTGTTGCTTAATTATATACGTTTTTCAGTTTTGCCAGATTTTGTTGCAAAAGAAATGATACGAGATATAGCCAGAGAAGAAGAAAGAGGCGGCGCATTTGAACCATTACAATTCCACAAGATTTATATTCATCGATATGAAAATGTATCAATATTATTTGCCGATATCAAAGGATTTACAGGTTAGATCATTCTTTGATGAATAATACAAAAAATATCGAACATCTTCTTAACTAATAATATTTACTTTTAGAGTTAGCAAGTAGATGCAGTCCGCAAGAGCTTGTAAGAATTCTAAATGATTTATTTGCAAGATTTGATAAATTGGCTACAGTAAGTGATGCAAAATTAAATTAAATTAAATACTCGAAAAGCTAATATGTTGAACTTTTATTTTGTGTTCTTTTATAATGTATACATGTTTGAAAGTTTTTTTAAAATTACATTCCTTTATTTTTGGTGAAGAAGCAATTAAGTGAGAAAATTATAAGCCATAATCAATATTTTTGATACATGTGAAAGAATATAACTCATATTCGCAAAGAACCAATCAAATCATTGCATCAAATTATTTTCTAACTATACATGGTTAGCCATCAATATGTGGTCAATGGAAACATTGAAGTTTTGTTTGCGCAATGAAGGGGATCATTTGAACGACGTTGTTTTTCAAATCTAGTTGGAAAAATTGTAAGGCTTTAAATTTGATAATAAACAAAAGTTTATCAAAATTTATTGAAAATTATTCAGTCATTCAACATTTTCTTTGGCCACATATAAATGGCGCACCCTGTATTAACGGTTGAGATCAGAATATAACTAACTTACTATATTGGTAAGTTAACAAATAATTTTGAATTTTCCAGTATTAATCTAGTTGAATTGTCTTGCACCTTATTAGATAATTAGATGTGCAATCACATATTAATATAATTTTAGGAAAATCATTGTCTTCGTATAAAACTACTAGGAGATTGTTATTATTGTGTTTCTGGTCTTCCAACGGCTCGAGGCGATCACGCCGTGTGCTGCGTCGAAATGGGTCTTCATATGATAAAAGCCATCAGAGATGTCAGACATCGAACCCAGGTATTTAGTTTTTTAATTGATATATTTTTTTTAATTATTTTTTTTTGAACAGCAATCAGAACCTAACAGTACTATAAGCTGTTGTGTTGATTTTGACTTAATACGAGTCTGTTTGACAGACGGCAACCCAATCAGTTGTCACATCTCTCT